GTCATGTCAATTTGATTTTAAGAGTGCTCAGGATTTGAAAAGGGACTCAGAAATTGGAGCTTCTTACTGAACCCCTGAGCACTAAGAAACTTCACAGGCCGCAACCACTATCCAAGATCCCTATGACAATCAGTAGGGAGCTGCTATGGAAGACCATAAACTCGAAGCACAAATGGAGAAAAATGATAATGAAAATATTGTAAAGAAAGCAAAACATTATTAACTGAGCATTACTCTGAAATCACTTTGCTTCACAGCCACATTCTTGTTACCAGGGAACACTGAGTGGATGCTGCAGCCTCGGTAGTGTATTCTCAGGATTAGCAGGGAAGCAAAGAATCTCCTAAGAGGCTGGGCATTCACATAAATTAATCCAGAAAAGGAAACGGGACACAAAGGATGCTCTCCACACACCACATAGTACTCATGGACTTTAGTGCCCATGTGACATTAAACTACACTGCATGTCTCACGTAGCCAAAAACAAATAAATAAATAAGAAAGAAAAGGATGTCCATGTGACTATGAAACTTGGACCTCCTACAGAGATCATATTAGTCTCCTTAGGTAGTTTCATCAGCAACATCTATGAGTCAAACTCTATATTTAAATGGCAAAACAGGCTCATCAATAATGAGGACTTTGGAACATACCCAGATTAACAGCATCAAATAAATGCTTGTTGCGATACAACTCTACAGGCCTGGATCTATACAGCAGGATACCCAATCAGGTCCTTTATGACAGGGGAAGGGAAATGCTTTAACTTTAAATGATACAATAAAGCTATAAAAACAGAAACAGAATCTCCTCCTCACGGCGCATACACGAAGCAAAACAAAAATAGCATAGAGCTACGTAACTTAAAGGGGATTTGCTGTCCATGTAGTCCAGCCGCTTCACTTCACAGATAAGGAAGCGAGGGCCCAGAAAAGTTGCTCAACATGACCTAGGCTGGATTCGAGGCCCAGTGTCTCACTCTATCCTCACTAGACCTGCCTTCTCTCAAAAACTAAGGGGGGAAAAGAAGCCATTTACATTCTTAGCTGACTCATCAAAGGATCCAAAAAATCTTAGGAATCTTTTGGCTCCAGGACTGAAAGCCAAACAAACTATTGTTGCAATAGGTCTCTAGAAAATCCTAAATTTGACAAGTGAACACAGGACGAGGAACCTGTACAGAGTCACCATAATGTCACTGCAGAAGCACACAGCAGTTCACTTTCAAATCCTTTTCACATACATTACTCCCCAAGAACCACAGCTCAGGACTGATATAGGTCTGAACTTTGCATCAGATCAATGGGACTGTGCCAGAATTGGAAGAGCCTGAGACACAAAGGAGAGCAAACTATAATATTTAAAAGAAAAAGAAATTTCCTACAAGCCCGAGGGAGCTTATCCCAGAAGGTCTCAGAATTGCTGAGAAAGGAAATGCTCTGAGGGTGCTTATGAATATGAATTCAGTTTTGCCATTCTTAAAAGTTGTCAGCTACTTTTTATTTTTTCAATTTAGGAGACAAGGTCTCAGTCTGTCACCCAGCTAGGCTGCAGTGCAGTGGCACAGTCATAGCTCACTGCATCCTGGAACTCCTGGGGTCAAGGGATCCCTCCGCCTCATCTTCCCAAAGTGCTGCAATTGCAGCCATCCACTGTGCCCAGGCTGCCAACTACTTTTAGGTTTAGTTTCCCCAACAAACCAAAGGGAAAATCTCACCCAGGAATCAAAAGGAGGAAAAGCTCGGAGCATGCTGGAAAGGGGTATGCCATTTACTGAGCTGAGGGACTGTGGGATGTCCTGCCTCCTTCCTGGAGCAGCCTCATCCTAGGGCTGCAGGACACATGCTCTCTCTACATTACCTGAGACTGTCAGTCTTCTTTCAGCTGATCATGGGGGTTTTCTGCCAAAGTTGACTTTTCTGGCTTTTTCCTTCTATATTTAAAATCCTTCTAATATGGTATGATTGCTAAGGATGCCAGGAGGAAAAACAAAAGCTGGACCAAAGATAAAGCAGAGTAAAAGATTAAACCATACGTTGAAAGACTTTTCTAGATTAAGTAGAAAGTTAGCCAAACAAGTTACTTTAATTCCCCATGTGACTGTGTTGGAGTGGCTCCCTTTGTTGGGCACATAGTAAGCAACAGATAATATTGCTCCTGTTTTTTATGTATATGATTTATTTATTGCACAGACTGGGACTCACTATGTTGCCTCTGCTAGTCTCCAACTCCTGGCCTCAAATGATCCTCCCACCTCCATCTCTCACAATGCTAGCATTACAGGTGCGAGCCACCATGCCAGGCCATTCATAACATTGCTTCTAAACCACAGAATCACACTAGACCAAATACAGACACTAAACGAAATCAGATTTTTATAAAACTTGAGATTACCAAACTTCTGAACACCCAATTCACAGATCGATGATATCACTGATCTAAACGCGTAAGTTTCAAAAGGAAAGATAAAAAACATCAAGTTCTAGAATACGTAAATACATTTCGTTTCAATATAAGTCTCTAAAGTACTGTTCGAACAAAACAAATACATTATAAAAGCCCAATCTTATTGGTATTAAAACTACCAGTAAAAATAAAAAATTAATGAGTTTGTTTCTAGTTAGTAACAGATTTGTCAAGTAACTTTGAAACAGCTTTGAAATTGATAATTTAAAAAAAATCCCAAGACATTCTATCACTTCAATAGCCAAATAAACTCAAAGCAATTAACCTGTCACTGATGAAACATACACACTGATTTGTTTATCCGCAAAATGTAAAAAAAAAATCTGCCTTGCCTTTAAAGATGGTTGAAAATGGAAACCAAAATGAGACACTATGTGAAAATGCTTGATAAGTATTTTAATTATAAGATATTGTAAGCTAGCTCACAGTGGAGTTTACACAAAGAAAACAGTGAAATACAAGTAATGCTCTAACTTGGCAGGGTAAGAGTAGGAGGCTAGGCGCAATTAATTTGGAGTCTAATCCTAGTTGGACACCATTAAGTACTAGTAACGTTGTAATACCAGTCACTAATGCCTGCCGAGCGCTATTTTCTTATTTAGAAAGTGAAAGAAATGGATTCCTATAAGGTGTTCAAAACACCATTACATACTTCTTCACAGGTGGGTCAATGATTAAATTAAAAGACTCATCATTTTATCCCTCATTCATCAGATTAGTGAGCTGAAGCGGTGTCATCTACCAGCAACTGACGGCTAATAAGTGTGAAAGCTGGAAGCATAAAGCCAGTCTTCAAACCCTGAATCCAGTGCGCTTCTCAATTAGGTGTAACTGAATGTCCCTGAAAATGCAATGTAGCCAGTTTTCTAATGTCCAAATTTGCAGTGGCAGAAAGAAAGGCAGTCATTCGTTCAATACATTAACTGACAGGCACTATTCTTTTTGAGTGCAAGGAGTAAAGCAGTGAATAAAAGAAAACACCACGGCTTCAATGAGCTCACAATGTGGCTGGAAAGAGCACCAAAGAAAATGTGCAAAACACGGGGTATATCACAGTGGTAAGTGCTATGGAGAAAAATGAACGAGGATGGCAAGTATGTGTTTGGCGATTTGCAATTTATTTCTTTTAAGCCAGACGGATGCCATTTAAAAAACTATAACAATAATGCATCTAAAGTAGTTTTCTTCAGCACTTTCCCCAACAGGAAAGACTTTGGTCCGCTTATTCCAATTTGAGACTGGTTGCTTAAACCTCTCGACTGCCAGCTAGAAGCTGTCACACTAGCAATCCAAATTCTGTGCTAACGATGATACCCCAGCCACACCCCTGACCCCTGCCAAAGAGTGCAAATGGATTTACAAAGGAAATCCAGGAGAAACTACAAGTTACAAGAGCACTTGGACTGCTTCTAAGTTAGCACAAATGTCTCCCAATGCAAAGGATGAAGTGTAACGTGTATGCTGGTTTCTGCTGGGACAAAGCGCCAAGAATACAGCACACATCATTTTGCTTTTTCTGACCTGTCAATTGTAGTGATATTCTCTACCACTGGCCTATATTTAACCAGCTTACTAAACAGTTTCTCCAGTTTCTAGCATTCCCTTCTTCCCTTTTATTAAAACAGCAACCTAGTTTGCAAGAAGGTTGCTGAAAGAAAAGATAGCTTCCTGCAAGATCTGATACATTTGTATAAGCACTGTCTTATCAACCTTTTAATTAACCTGGTTAGTTGAGTTGGCTAATCAGGTTAAGCTTTGCTTTACTAAAGTATTAAAATGCCCTTAGTTCCTAGGCTCTTATGGTCCTCGGGTTGTAGCTGCATCCTGAGAATTCGCTACAGTTTACTTCAACGTGTAACTCTTAAACAGTTACCAGATACGAACGGAAAAGTCACTTTTGACAAGGAGAAGAATTTCGCCCGGAAGGTCCGACTACCCAAACCAAGGAGTACAACCGAGAGGGTTTTCGATGCCCACACCCCGCGAGGCGCTGTCTGTCCGGCCTCCCAGCGGGCAGGGCGCTCCCGGCCGGGTTGGCGGCGCCGGCCCAGCCCCGGCGCGTGGATTCGGAGGCAAGCGGCGGGCGAACTTTGGCGGGGACCGCGGGCCCGGAATGGACGAAGGGGCGGCTCTTCCCGGACGCGGCCCCGCCCAGCTCGCGGGTGCGGGTCCCAGCCGGCACAGGACGGCGTCTGGGGGCCTCTGGGTCTCCGAGGCCGGGCGCCCGCCGCGGCAGTGGGACCCTGGGAGGACGCGGCGGGGAATCGAGGCCCAGGTCCGGGAACAACTGCGAGGGGCGTGGGGGTCCGGTGGGGAGCGGGCCCGGAAGCCACAGGGGCCGCCCCGGGACGCAGCCAGTGGGGCCCGGCTCCGGCGCGTGCCGGGAGGGACTCCGCGCCAACAGTGACGCGGGGACCCCGGTGTCGCGGGTAGGGGACAGGGTCTAGGGGCCACGCCCGGCCCGGCCGCCCCGCCCCCGGCTCCGGGCAGCACCGCCGCACTCGCCCGCTGGCCCGCCGCGGCCCCTTCCCCACCTGATGTAGGGGCTGGCCGCCGCCAGGATGTTCTTCTGCACCGGGATCTCCTCCCCGTCGAGGACCAGGTGCGCGTCGCAGAAGCGGGACTCCTCGCGGAAAGAGCTGAGCGCTCGCAGCAGACGCGCGGCATGCTGAGGGTCGGACACTGCGCTGCCCTCGGCCATCGCGGCGCCCGCTCCTCCGCCGGCGGGTCCCGCTCCCGACACAGCCAGGCCGGACCCCTGGAGCCGGACGCGTCTCGGGCGCGCACTCGCCCGGCCCGGCTCTCAACGCTCTAAGCAAAAGCTGGAGCCCCCGGAACGCGTCTGTGCCATCCGCGGTGCCCTGGGCCGGCGCCTTTAAGAAGGCTCTGCATGACGTTATTTACCCGCGACGCCCCCTCACCGTCGCTCCCCGCCCTCTTGCCCTCGCCGCTGAAGAAGGCCAATCAGAAGCCTCCTTCCTCCGCCCGCCCGGCCGGCTCCGCCTGGCTGCTGCGGGAGGTGTAGAAGGCTGAGTGATCGCTGCCGCGGTGGAGGGATGTACGGACGGGCTAGGACTCGGTGGTTAATCCGTGGCCTCTAGGGCCGCGAGTTTGAATCCTGGTTGCAGCTTTTCCACTTACTAGCTGTGTGGCCATGGGTAACGTGCCCAGCCTCGGTTTCTCCGTCTGCAAAATGAGAACGACTTTTTAGTGTTGTTGTGGAGTCAACGAGATGACGCATGCAAGCAAGGGCGCAATCGCTGTAGCCTTCATTATTTATGAGAGAAAAGGAGCTGCTCAGGTGAGAGCACAAAAACCCGAGAAAACAGACCCAGAAAAGATGGTTTTCGTTATGGGCTAGGAAGGAGATGTAGCAGATGAAGCTGGATAAGTCCGAAAGAGGCCTTAAGTTTTGCAGGGCCTCCTTGGTGTGGGAAGGAGGTTGGTTTCCGTAGGGGTGAAGAACCATGGAAGGGTATTTTGCAGGGGGGTTTGTGCAGATCACTCAGCCACTACGTGGAGAATAAGGCGGGGATGGATGTGCTAAAGGCAGATAGATGTTTGGATATTGCAGTACTTGAGAGAAGGGAATGGGGACCTGGATGAAAGGGTGATGGGGTTGGACAATAGTGGATTGTTTTAAAAGAAATTACGAGGGAGAGGGAGTCAGGGATAAATGGTCTGGGTTGAGTAACTACCTGCATGTATGTTTGAATCTTTCAGGGAGAGCTAGGAAATGCTGAAGGAGTGGTCAGAAGGGAGGCAGATGTTCAGATTCAAACAGGCTCCCAACCCAGTGGAGACCAAAGCTGTGACAGAAAGGATCTCCGCGTCAGCTCAGCTGGCAGGGCAAGCCCCATAGCGTCTCAAGTTTCCCTGGAGGTTGCTCAGGGCACAGGGGAGTGTGGAATGTAGCTACCATTTTGTGAAAATGTTAGGTACTCAATAAGCCTCTAAAAAATTAGCAATTTTATGAGGACCAAGGACAAAAGGAATGTGGCCAGCATTCCAGACAAAGTAGGATGGGATTTTCACTGAAGCAGCCCAGTCTTTTCCTTTGACCAACTCAAAGGCTCCAATAGAGTCTTGGGTCTTTACTCTGAACCAGCCAAGGCTTTGGAGTCACTGGCAGGAATCAGAGTATCTGTTTTGAAGGCAGAAGAATCGGTGGGGAGGGGAATGCTGTGGAAGACACACGCATTTCCACTTCTTTCTGGAAATGCAGCTTAGTATTCATGGATGCAATGATAAAAATATCTAGGATTTGCTTCAAAACAAAACACAGGGTTGGGGAAGCAGATGGGAGTGTAGATAAATCAAAAATGGCCACAGTTACTAATTGTTAAAGCCACGTAATGGGGATGTGGAGATTCATTGTACTGTCTGTATCTTTGTGTGGATGTTGAAAAATATTTTCTTCTTTTTTTTTTTTTTTTGAGTCAGAGTCTCGCCCTGTTGCCCAGGCTGGAGTGCAGTGGCACAATCTCTGCTCACTGCAACTTCTCCTTCCTAGGTTCAAGTGATTCTCCTGCCTCAACCCCTAAGTAGCTAGGACTACAGGTGTGCACCACCATGCCCACTAATTTTTGTAGTTTTAGTAGAGATGGTCTTTCACCATGCTGGCCAAGCTTGTCTCAAACTCCTGACCTTGTGATCAGCCCACCTCAGCCTCCCAGAGTGCTGGAATTACAGGTGTGAGCCACCACCCCCAGCCAAAAAATGTATTTAAAAAGGTAAGAAACACACGAGACATGCAGCTTGGACTTATCTTCTCCATGATAACCTGCCCTGTATCCCTGGGAGCAGCTGACATGCCTTTCCCCAAGTAGTTGCTGTACTTTGAACACTGCTCCAGCAAGAAACTTACTGTAATGGGTTTACTGATCCACGTCACCTGCTCTAGTAAGTTTATTGTGGCTCAGCATGAACTCCAGGTGCCAAGCATGGTGCTTGGCGCATAGTAGCGCCCACTGAAAGTTGGATGGATGGAGGGATTAAAAAAAAAAAAAAAAAAGAAAAACACCTGAATACCTGATACTTCTTAATAAATGTTTCCTGAACTGTATTCTCTGTCTGTTCTTGGTTAATTTGTGTTTGCCACTTTTAAGGTCAAAAACCAGGGAGAGTTCTCTACACAATGGAGGTATTTGATACGTCCTTATTAATTGCTTGTTGTTCTAGTCTATTCTTTAAATATCAGAGGTTCCAAAACAGAGAGCTCCAATAACAGGATCACAGTCAGGCAAACAGTTACCCCAGAGCAGGAGGGCTGCCTGAGTTGAAGTAACTGGAGGTGAATGGGGATAAATCAGGCAGTCTCTTCCAGGTAGAGGTGAACCTTCCCTGTTGTTTTGACAGAAGGAGGAAGTGGAATGACCATCAAGAGAAAGGTGGTTGCTAGCTTGACCGAATCATCTGTGCAGCAGGCAGCTAATCAGCAGACCTTACATATACTTTTAATACTGCCAACACTGTTTCTAGTATTCCACACCACTCCATTAGCCTGGTGAACTCTTATTCATCCTTCAAAACCCAGGTTAAACATGACTTTCAGGAAATCTTCATCTGGCTTCCCAGGACAGAGTGTGTCAGCTGTCTGCATGCTTCTGCTGCTGTGCTGTGCTCACCACACTGCACTGTAATTTACTGGCTTATAAGTCAGTTACGCTGCTGGGTTGTGAGTTCCTCCAAGGCAGGCGCTGCGCTGTATCCACCTATGTTCCCAGGACTTACACAGTGCCTGGTGTGTAGTAGGTACCCCCTAAATGTTTTACATAATTAGAAGCAGCATATCGGGTAAATGAGCAAAGCAAACTATGGGATGTAGGATGTCAGACAACAGGGGTTGGTGGACTTATGGGAGCTGAAGAGCCTGCGCCTCAGCTCTAGTTTATTGCTCTGTGGGATAAGGGCCCAGTGGTGTCGGATCTAACAACTTTAAAATAAATTCTGAAAATTCAGACTTACATGTTGAATATTCTGGATTTTCAACATTAGCAAATTATTCCATTTGGGGAAAAAATGTAGCATGAGTGTGCAGACAAGATCTGGCTGTAATTTGTGTTCAGAGGTAATCAGAAAACCATTAGTTTCCTGAAAATATAGTTGACAATCAAACGGATGGTAGGTTGCCAATAAAATGTGTTGAGGGGAATTCACATGCCCCAGAAAGCTCATCCTCATGCTGTGGGCAAGGAAGAGGGCCCAAGTATGGGAGGAAGGGTTCAGGAGGCAGAGGCTATTCTCCCAGTGCTGTCGGAGCCACTCTTGCTTGAGCCGAAGTACTGTGGACTGTTTTGCAGTCTTTCTTGATATTGCTCAATCTGAGCTACCCTTGATATTGTGCCCATCAGAATGATGGATTAAATGTTGTTTCCATACATTCCATTGGCATCAGGTTTCAACCGTCATTGTGACACATATTACCATGTGAGAGACTCGATACTGTCCTAACAGTTTTAGTCTCTGGTGGCTATACTGTGTTCTGGTTTAGAGGTGAAACAGCCCAGAGAAAGGATTTATTTACGTATTTATTTTTGGTCTGAAGACCAAAAAGGATGTTTGCAAGATATTCAAAAATCAACGTCATTCAAACAGTATTCATTCCACAACTGTTTTTAAAGCGCGTGCTGTATGCCGCCTGCTACAGACACAGTGATGGTGAAGACATAGTTATCTCTGCGGTATTATAGAAGCTTTCATTCTTTGTACTTTCCTCAATTTATATTTTCTGTACTGATCATGCATAATTTTTTACAATCATTAAAAAAACAAGAAAGCAATTTCTATATGCAAAAGGGAAAAAAAGCTTTCTTTGGCTTTGAAAAATGAACCCTCAAGAGAGGAATCCACTTGAGAGTTGGGCCTTTATGTTCTAAAAACTACCTGGACAGTCTGGTAAGAGAAATAATGCAAAGAAAATGCTAACACTGAAAATTCCTTAGCAAACATCAAGTCCAACGGATTCATCTTATTGAAGAGAAAACCAAAGTGCAAATGAGGAAAGGCCTCAGTCAAGGTCGTAGGTGTGACCCAGTCAGGGCTGAACAGGCTGAGGTCTAGCTCTTCTGCCTTCCAGCCCTGAGAGCTTTTCCATTACACCAAGCTGACTCGTCATAAACATTCATTTGTTTGAGACAGTCTCTTCTAATTCATTTTAAGGTAGTCTTCAGATATTTTATTGGGTAAATCTTTCATTTGTCCAAATCTATATATAGCTCTTTTCTTTCCAAAAAAAAATCTAGCCTATTCCAAATTGCTGAGTCAGAGAACATCTCCGTATTTATAACACTGGAGAGTTGGTTCTATATATTTACACAGTACTCAGAGAAGCGTCTCAGAAACCGGTGAACTAATTAAATTGTAATGAAACTCCATGAAGGTAGTAGCTGTTCCTCTCCAAATTCACACTGTACCCTACCCCAGCACCCAGTACAATGTCTGACACACAGTAGTTGCCCAATAAATATTTGCTGAAGAAATAAATTCTAATAGAATTGAGATTTTTCTCTTTACAAGGGATTACCTCACATTATTTTTCATATTTCCCCATTGAACTCAAAACTGAAATATTCCCAGGCCTGCTTGACATTGCCATTTGAATAATAGAAACCTAGAATTTAGCACCTGAGAAAGTAAACTTCTACTCAAAAACAAAACAAAACAAAAATTAGCTGGGTGTAGTGACACACACCTGTAGTCCCAGCTACTTGGGAGGCTGAGGTGGAGAATCACTTGAGCCCAAGAGGTTGAGGCTGCAGTAAGCCAAGATCATGCCACTGTACTCCAGCCTGGGAGACAGAGTGAAGCCCTATCTCAAAAAAGAAAAAAAAAAAAAAGAAACTCCTGTTCTTACCTCTAAATCTAATCATTTTGCAAGTAAATGGCAATAGCATTCATTTACCCAGGGGCGGAAACTTCGGGTCATTCTTGAACTCTGTCTCTCATACCCTTCACTCAGTTCTCCAGTGAATCCTGCAGCTCCTCATGCAGACTACTTTTTGTTTGTTTGTTTTTTTGAGATGAAGTCTCACCCTATCACCCAGGCTGGAGTGTAGTGGCTCACTGCGACCTCCACCTCTGAGATTCAGGCAATTCTCTTGCCTCAGGCCCCCGAGTAGCTGGGATTTCAGGCACCCACCACCACACCTGGCTAATTTTTGTATTTTTAGGAGACAGCGTTTTGCCATGTTGGCCAGGCTGGTCTCGAACCTCTGACCTCATGTGATCCGCCCACCTTGGCCTCCCAAAGTGTTGGAATTACAAGCATGAGCCACCATGCCTGGCCCTGCAGACTAACTT